TTTTTTCAATTTTTCCCCGTTATTTTCATTCAAATTTTCAGCAAGCACAGCTATTACCATTGGAGGTTTCATCTACTTTATGTCGTATCTCTTATATTTTGTCATCAGTCCTCACTATGCTTGGATGACTTTTCATAATAAACTATTTTCCTGCCTCTTTTCAAATGTTGCCATGGTGTTTGGGGTCAATATTCTAATTAAATTGGAAAGTTTAGGTGAGTATTAGTATTTTTCTTCTCAAATTATGGTTCTACTTAGTTAATTCCTTGACCACTCTGAGAGGTGATAAATTTAGAATTCTTTACTGCTAAGTAATATTTAAAGGAAATATGAAATGATTTTCAGTAAGGACAAGAATAACAACTTAATGGCTATATTTGAGTTAATGCCACACTTGTAAAAATAATTGTGCATGCCAAAACCAAAGTTATCTAGGATTCATTTTTGACAATTTTTTTTATGTGATTGTATCAAAAGAACACCTTAAGAGTTGAAGAAGGAAGGCTTTAGCTGTTGTTTTATTAATGTAATCAGTGCAGCACTAATTGAGTACCTCTGTTACTCAGCTTTGTGCTAGATCTGAGGGATGAAAGAGAAGCACAAGTAATTGTCCCTCCTCTTAAGGAACTTTAATATTTTACTTATAAATGTACCCTCCAAATAATCAAAGACAAAAACAATTACTTTAGTATAAATACATTGGGATTAGAGTTAAATGGCTTATTATTTTTCAAAGAAAAAGAAAAACCTAAGCATTGCTTTGGTATTTGAAAAATAAAATTAAAATATGGATAGAGGTAATTTTAAAAGTCAATTAGAAAACAATAGTAGAGTTTTTCCTTTAATAGTAAATTGTGTGAGAACATGACTACCAGTAGTGTTTGATTTTCAGAATTGACAAACCACTGGCAAACTTAACAAAGGAAAAGAAAAAGAAGATGCAAATATCATAAATTAGAAATGAAAAAGGGTGACATAACAGAACCAAATGAAATAAAGAGTAACAACACATTACTGTGAAAGACTGTACATGAATAATTTAAAGTTATACATGAAATCGATAAATTTCTAGAAATATATCATCTACCCAAATTAACACAGACTGGCATAGAGAATTTCAACAAAAGAAGAAATAGATCAGGTCATTAGAAAACATTCATCGAAAATAAAGAAAAAGATGGCTTCACCAGGGAATTCAACCAAATATTCAGAGAAGAGCTCACACCAATTGTACACGGACAATTCCAGAACATCGAAAAAGATGACAAACTCCAAAACTCATGTTATGAAGCAACTGGAACCCTGACAAAGATCAGGAAAAGACGCCACAAGATAGAAATCTATAGACTGATATCCTTTATGGACATAGATGCAAAACTTCTCAACAAAAGCCTGGCCACTAGAATCCAAAAATATATCAAAAATAATATATCACTATCCAGGGGGATTCATACCAGGTACACAAGTACAGTTCAACAGTGCAAAATCAATAAATTAAGAGCAAAAATAAGAGCAAAAAATAAGAACCATATGATCATATCAATCTGACACAGAAAAGATATTTGACAATATCCAACCCCCATTCCTGATAAAACATTGATCAAAATAGGAATAGGAGGGACATTTCTCAACATAATAAAGACCTTAATGAAAAACTAATGGCCAACATTTTGTTCAATGGAGAAAACCTGAATGCATTTCCCTGGCACACAGGAACCAGATAAGGATGTCCCTTATCACCACTCTTATTCAACATTGTGCTGGAAATCTTACCCAGAATCATTAGACAACAAAAAGAAGTCAAAGAAAAAAATAGTCAAATAGATCCAAATGTGCAAAGAAGTGAAACTCACTGTTTGTAGATATTATTTTATATGTAGAAAACCCCAAAGTTGCAAGAAAAACTTACTAGAGACAAAGTATTTGGCAGCATGGGAGGATACAGAATTAATTCCCATAAATCAATAGGATTCCTGTACACTTATAAAGGGAACTCTGAAAAATAAATCAAGAAAACAATAGCATTTACAACGACCATACACAAAGTGAAATACTGAAAAATAAACCCAAGCAAAGAAACAAAAGACTTGTACAAAGAAAACAACAGAACACCATTACAAGAGACCTACATAAATGGAAGGATAATCCAGGTTCCTGGGTAGCACAGTTTACCTTGTGAAAATGGCAATACCCACAAAGCAATCTATAAAGGCAATGAAATTCCAATTCAGATCCCAACTCCATCGTGTAAGAAGTAGAAAATTAATTACCAAATGCATATAGCGAAGGAAGAGACTCAGGATAAGCAAAA